GCCTGATTGTAGGGGTTGATATGCAGGCCACTACTGCTTATATCTACATAAGGGGAGAGTATGTAAATGAGCGGAAAAACCTTGAGAAGGCAAGGAGGGAAGCTTATCAAGTTGGAGTTTCGGGAAAAAATGCTTGTGGATCTGGATATGATTTTGATGTTCATATCCACTATGGAGCTGATGCTTACATTTGTGGAGAAGAGACGGCGTTGTTGGAAAGCCTTGAAGGAAAACAAGGAAAACCAAGGTTGAAGCCTCCTTTTCCAGCTAATGCAGGGCTATATGGATGTCCAACAACTGTTACAAATGTTGAAACTGTGGYTRTTTYCCCCACCATTTTAAGGCGTGGTCCTGAATGGTTTGCTAGTTTTGACAGGAAGAACAATTCTAGGACAAAGCTATTCTGTGCCTCAGGCCACGTGAACAAGCCTTGTACAGTTGAAGGGGAGATGAGTAATCCATTGAAGGAGCTGATAGAGAGGCACTATGGAGGAGCTAGAGGTGGATGGGATAATTTRCTTACAGTGATACCAGGGGGTTCTTCTGTTCCACTGATTCCACAGCACATATGTGATGATGTGTTGATGGATTATGATGCACTCAAGGCTGTCCAAAGGGGTTTAGGGACAGCTGCTGTAATTGTGATGGACAAGTCAATTGATATTGTGGATGCAATTGCTAGGCTCTCTTACTTCTATAAGCATGAAAGTTGTGGGTAGTGCACAACATGCAGGGAGGGGACAGGATGGCTGTGGATGATCATGGAGAGGCTGAAGGTTGGAAACGCGAAGCTGGAGGAAATAGACATGCTTCAAGAGGTGACAAAGCAGACACACCATCTGTGCATTGGGCGATGCTACTGCTTGGCCTGTGCAGGGACATATTAGTGCGCGGTGTGCATCCATCCACTATACCTAGAGTCTGGTTTGGAAGTGCTTATTCATTGGCAGGGCCTACCTGATTTTGATGATTCTTGGGAGCCTTTTGACTTGCTTCAAGACCAATTTCCTCATTTTAACCTTGAGGACAAGGTTAGACTTTGGGCGGCGGGTAATGATAGGCCCCCAATTAACTTTGCGTATGCCAGGAAGGGGAAAGGTCAGCTTTCGGCTAAGGGGGGAAATAATTGAACATGGGGGCAATTATAGCTGGAGGGAATAAGGAGAGTCTTGAGGYATTTATARMTATGTCAGTTAGGAATAAGAAGAGTATGGGCATTTATAACTTAGCCAGCTGGGCATTTATTGAGGGAGTCAGTTATGCTGTGAGAAGAGTATAAGAAGGGGCTTTGGGGGATGGGGAAGATAGGCTTTTGTTGAGTGAAGAATATTGTGAGTGATTGGGAGAGCCGGCGGTCTCTCGAAGAACCGGCCAACTGTTAATGTTCTTCTTTTCTATACCACTGATATGACCCGAAAATTTGACACGCAGGTCACAGACTTACAGCAGCGTTCACACACTCAAACATCAACAAAAGAGACTAGTATTCATTCAACAGAAAATATAAACAATTGGTCGGTTCTTCGAGAGACCGCCGGCTCTCCCAAACACTCACAATATTCTTTACTCAAATAAAAAACATAACCCCTATCCCCCAAAGCCCCTTCTTATACTCTTCTGATAGCATAACTGCCTTCCTCTATAAATGCCCAGCTGGCCTAGTTATAAATGCCCAGAAACTCTTCTTATTCATAACTGACATAGCTATAAATGCCCTAAGACTCTCCTTATTCCCTCCAGCTATAATTGCCCTCATGTGATTAATTGTTCAATTATCCCCCCCCCCCCTCTTAGCTGATTGTTGACCTTTCCTCTTCCTATGTAAAGTTAATTGGGGGCCTATCAAAACATTGCTATGAACTGATGCATAACATGGCTGATTTTTCTAGGGGGGACTGTTGGGCTTGTGGGCTTCACTGGTTGCATTTCTTTTTTTGGGTGGTTGGCGACCCAAGAAAAAAAATATCCAAAATGAATGTAGTTGAATTGAACTAGTTGTTGAATCATGTAACATAGGTAAAGAATTAGCTAGAGATGTCATCCGTAAGCGTTCACCTCTGACTCTGAGAACAAATATGCCCGTTAAGGCTTCCAAAGCATATTTAACCTAAAATTCTATGTTGATAGTGTTGGAAAAAATGGGGTCACTGTAACTTTGGAGGAGAAGCTCTGAGGCACGTCTGAAGACACTGCCTTTAGAACATTATTTGCCCCCACTCAGTTTCATTGAGTTTGCTRTTGGGTTAYAGGMAAATCCGTTCCCAGGATACAACAGAGCCTTGGGCGAGAATCTGCAACCAGCAAAGTTGAAGAATCTCCGAGAAACCTTCTGTGAGATTGTAGCAAACCGGACTG